TAAATTTTGTTGTACAAACATTATTTTTCTAATTAAAATTCATTAAAACTTGCTAAATATTATGTTAGATTGGTTGAATAAGAACTAATAGGTATATGTAAAATCAAAAGACAATCTTGAATCCTTCAAGAGACTATAAATTTTAATAATAACAAATTTTTTTTTCAAGATATTTGAGACAAAACAAATATCATATTTCATCTATCAAACGAAGTACACAATCTGACTCATTGTTAAATTTATTTCTCTTTATAAAGTCAGATTATCTTTAAAGAGTATAAAATATTTTATTCCTTAACAGATCAAATGAGAAAACTTCCTCGAAGACATAAAAAATTATTGTGAATCAAAAGCCATTCTTTGTGTCAGAAAGAGAAGAATCCCAAAAATTATGAAAAAAAAACAGATAGGAACTCTAAACATGTTGCACTACTTTGATTTAGAGCATCTCCAGTGGGGGTTGCTTATAAGCAACCCTTATATCACATCATTGCCGCATCAGCTCTGCTCCACTTTATGGGTTGCTTAAATTTTAGCAAAGTTACTTGTAAAAGCAACTTTGCTAAAATTTAAGCAACCCATAAAATGGACCAGAACTGATGTGGCAATGATGTGGTACAGGGGTTGCTTATAAGCAACCCCTACTGGAGATGCTCTTAGCCACTGTGTTTTACCCTACCTAACAAAATGATGATAAGTAATTGTCAAGATCAGATAAAAGATGAACATCTTCATGTAATGCATTAAATGCTTGCAATAACGGCTAATTCACTCTCTCTCTCTAGTCTCAAAGAGAAGACAGATGAAGCATCATGAGAAGATTGCTCAACGATTATCTTCTTTCAAACTACTTTATAAGGGATTTTCATACAAGACAAAAAGTGACGGCAAGGAAAATAATAGAAAAGAAACTAATTGCATATTTTGTAGATAAATTCTATCTTGTACAATTTATTTGTGCTTAATTTTCATAGCTTCACGTTTAGAAGAGATAAAGTTATCTTTGTAACTCTTTCCAAATTTCTATTTGTAAGGGTTAAGTTAGGGAGACTTGTTGAGAGAATACTTAGTATTCGAACTTGGAAAGACTTGTTGAAAAAAATAATTAGTGTTGAGCCTAGAGAGACTTGTTGAAAAAATATTTGGGTAATTGTTTGAGGAAACAAGTTAACGATTACTTAGGTTTAAGCTAGAAATGACTTGTTTAAAAAATCTTTGTATCTTGTGAAAAATATTGAAACTCAATTTGGTTGAATTGAGAACTATATATAGTGTATGTATTTGAGACGAACCAATATAAAGGATCTGTGCTCTTTCATCTGTTGCATTTCAGCACTACATCCGTTAAAACTTTTACTATTTCACTGTATTTCAAAAAGTGCGCATTTTTTGATATACATTATTCAACCCTTCTAGTACGTATCTTTTCTCCAACAATATATAAATTTGTGATTTTTAATAATTTTTTATTAGTCGATTTAAAAGAATTAGTTTGTTACTAATTCTCATCAAATTCATCAGCCACGGTTACACGTGCATGGCAAAAAACGAAAAGACTTGGTTGATTTAAGAAAAACACAACACAATTCCTGGCTACATCATCAAATGGTTGACTCGTGAGAGAAAAACAGCGAGGTGAAAGTGTAACCCAACATCGAATGAAGATTCACATGAATATTTATATTAGGGACCTAAACATATTCTAAAGTTATTATATATCTAAATGGAACAATGATACCAAGTAATCAACATGGTAACATGAATATTAGTGAGAATCACTCTTAATAATCACTTGATTTTCCATAAATATGGAAGTAATAAAGGAGTGTTATATAATTGTGAAGACTAAAATAAGTAATTTAAGCTCTTTGAAGATGAAGAAAATAAAAAATAATTATTCATATGGATTAAATCAAGACTCAATCATTTATTTTAAGATTTAATAATTATGCAATGTCATATAAAATATTTTGTTATAGTTTTATTCATTTTAAGAACTCAATTACAAAAGTTGTAGAAGATCAAAACTGAATTATGATTTTTTTTTTTAATTTAAGAATCTAATTAAAATTTTGAAAAAGTGCTAAATTTTTTGATATATTAAACTTATATATTTTTCCGATCATATTCTTTTTAATAATTTGTTATCATTAATTAAAATACTTTTGTCTCTCTTTTTATCTCTTATAAATTTTATTGTACAAACATTATTTTTCAAATGAAAATTCATTTAAAACTTGATATATATTAAGTTAGATTGGTTAAATAAGAACTAATATGTATATGGAAAATTAAAAGATGATCTTAGATCCCTTAAGAGGCTATAAGTTTTAATGATAATAAACAATTTATTTTAGAAGACTATTTCAGACAAAACAAATATCATATTTTATCTATAAGACAAAGGACATCAAACGAAGTACACAATCTATCTCACTACTAAATTTATTTCTCTTTATAAAGTTAGATTATCTTTAAAGAGTATTGAATACTTTATTCCTTAACAGATCGAATGAGAAAACATCCTCGAAGACACTGAAAGTTGTTATGAATGAAAAATCAATCTTTGTGTCAGGAAAGAAAGAGAAGAATCCTGAAAATTATGGAAAAACAAACAGGAATTCTGAACACGTTGCATTGCTCTAATTTAGTCACTATTTTTCACCCTAACAAAATGATGATAAGTAACTGTCAAGATCAAATAAGAGATGAATATATTTATTCAATGCATTAAATGCTTATAGTAACGACTAATTCACTCTCTCTCCCTGGTCTCGAAGAGAAGACCAGGGTCGGACATTCAATAAGACAATTAAGGCTAATGCCTAGAGCCCTCAAACTTATAAAACCTCCAAATTTTTTTAATAATAGTATTATTGATATAAATTAATTTTTAAAAAATTAATATTTGAGATAAGGCCCAATATTTTATAAGACACATATCTCACTTTTTTATATCCCTTATTTTCTTATCATTAAAATTATTTAAAAAATCACAATCCATTTATTAGTTTTTGTAAATGAAAAGTCACTCAACATTCAACAGTCACTACTACTTATTTTTGTCTTTTACATATGACAGATTTTCAACCTCTTTGTTTCCTCTCTAGTCTATCTCTTTCTCATTCTCTCTCCACTCTCATTCTCAATTCCTTCTTTGAGTCTAAATTGAGAGCTTGATTAGGAGCAATACGGTCCTACTCTGCCTTTTTTCTTGGTTGATTCCTACTCTGTAAGATCCTTAAAACTGCTAAATTAGTATAATTCTGGGTGTTGGTTCAATAACATCAACACATTTTCTTAGTTATCACCATTAACAATCCATTGTAGTGCAGTTCTTGCATGATATTGCATTGTGAATTTGTCATGGGTCATCCCAGGGATCAGTACCACATATTTTTCTTTATTGAAATTGAAATTTGTCATCATGACAAGATTTCTTCTTTCCAAGATTTCCCGTGTGTCTTTGAAAAGTCAAGATCAAACCTTTCTAAAATATTGTAAACTAATTATTAATGAGAAAAAACAATTTAGTATAGTACTTTTATTTACAAATTACAATCTTTAGATCTCATTTTTTTTTATTGTTTATCATTGTAGGTGCACATAAAGTGATTATCATTATGATTTCGGTTTTGGATACTCATAGCTACGATAGTGCATAGCCATAACTTAAAGAAATTTTCATTCCCAGATATAATTTTTCACTTTCTAGGTTTTATTTTGTCATTGTTATCTTCTTTTAATTTTAAAAATTATTTTTCTTGTTATTTTTATTTTAGAATATGAAAACATGTTTGATTTTTTATTTGATTCAAATAAATTTAAAATTTTAGGGGAAGATGAATTGAAAAAATATTGTGTCAATCTTGAAAAGATTTTGAGTTTTGAGGACCATTATGATATTAATGGTCTTGATTTATTTTCAGAATTAAAGTTATTGAAAGAAATTCTAACAAATGAAATTAACATACCATTAAAAATATTTAATTATATAAAAAGATCATGTTCTTTTCCAAATACATACATTACTTATAGAATATTATTAACATTACATGTAACTGTTACGACTGCTAAAAGAAGTTTTTCAAAATTAAAAATGATTAAATCATATTTAAGATCAACTATGCTACAAGATAGATTAAATGAGTTAAATATATTATCTATTAAGAGTGAGATGTTAGAATTACTTGATTATAAAACTTTAATAAATAATTTTACAGCTCAAAAAGCCAGAAAAAATAACATAAAAATTATTAAGCTATATTAACATAGGCCCCTGTCTTAATTTTTGCCTAAAGCCCCGAAATTCCTAGATACGGCCCTGGAGAAGATAGACAAAGCATCCTGAGAAGATTGCTCAATAGTTATCTTCTTCCAAGCTACTATATAAGGGATTTTCATTCAAGACAAAAAGTTTCAGCAAGGGAAATAATAGAAAAGAAACGAAGTGCATACTTTGTAGATAAATTATCTTGTACAGTTTATTTGTGTTCAATTTTCGTAACATCATGTCTAAAAGAGATGAAGTTAGCTTTGTAACTCTTTCCAAGTTTCTATTTTTAAGAATTAAGCCTAGAGAGACTTGTTGAAAGAATACTTAGCGTGTGAGTTTGGAGAAGCTTGTTGAAAAGAATACTTAGTGTTGAGTTTGGAGAGAATTATTAAAAGAATACTTAAGTAGTTGCTTAAAGAGACAAGTTAAAAGACTTTTTAGGTTTAAGCCAGAAATTACTTGTTTAAAAAATACTTGTATCTTGTGAAAGATAGTAGAACTCAATCTGATTGGATTGAAAACTGGACGTAATCTCTGTATTTGAGACGAATCTGTATAATAGATTTGTACCCCTTCATTTGTTGCATTTCATCACTTGGTCTGTCAAAGCTTTTATTATTTCACTGTATTTCAAAAACTGATTTTTTGATATATACTATTCAACCCCTTGTAGTGTGTCTCATTTCTCCAACAATATATAAATTTGTAATTTTTAATAATTTATTAGTCAATTTAAAAGAATTAGTTTGTTACTAATTCTCCTTATCAAATTCATCAGCCACGGTTACACGTGCTTGGCAAAAAACGAAAAGACTTGGTTGATTTAAGAAAAACACAACACAGTTCCTGTGTACATCATCTAATGGTTGACTAGTGAGAGAAAAACAGTGAGGTGAAAGTTTAACCCAACATCGAATGAAGATTCACATGAGAAACGTAGTTTCTAGACTAAGCTTTTCTCACACATGGATTACACCCAACGTTGCTTGTAGCTATCTGACCCAAACCCATCACGCCAATGCCACTAAGCATGAAGCCTCTGATGACATTCATCCATATGGTTATGATTCAACCACTTTCCATGTTGCATGCCACATGTTTGAAGAAATGTCTGACTTAACTGTTGCATCAGCAACGACCATAATTCAGGGCTTTGTTAAGCGCCACTGCCATGAAGATGCCATCAATCTTTTCACTAAGATGTTGGCCTCAAAAATTAGACCCAATGAGTTCACATTTGGAACTGTGCTTCACTCCTCCACTGCACTTGGAAATGTTGTTTTGGGGAGGCAGCTTCATGCTTGTGCAATGAAGGTTGGCTTTAGCTGTCATGTATTTGTTGGTAGTGCTCTGCTTGATTTATATTTCAAGTTGAGTACTGTAGAAGAAGCCCAGATGGCTTTCAGAGAAATGCAACATCCTAATGTGGTGTCTTATACAACTCTAATTTGTGGGTATTTGAAGAGAAGGAGATTTGAGGATGCTTTACGGGTTTTCCATGAGATGCCTGAGAGGAACGTTGTCTCGTGGAATGCGATGGTTAGCGGATGCAGCCAGACAGGGCATAATGAAGAAGCTGTGAATTTTTTTATTGGCATGCTAAGAGAAGGATTTATACCAAATCAATCTACATTTCCTTGCGTGATTTCTGCAGCTGCAAATATGGCTGCACTTGGAATGGGGAAAAGTTTTCATGCTTGTGCAATCAAGTTTTTGGGTAAGGTTGATCAGTTTGTTGGTAACTCAGTTATTAGCTTTTATGCAAAATGTGGAAACATGGAAGACAGCCTGCTAATGTTTGACAAGCTTGTTAAAAGGAACATAGTTTCATGGAATGCCGTGGTATGTGGTTACGCACAAAATGGAAGAGGCTTTGAAGCAATAAGCTTCTTTGAAAGAATGGGTTCTTCAGGCTATAAACCCAATGCAGTTACCCTTCTTGGGTTACTCTGGGCTTGTAATCATGCCGGTCTTGTTGATGAGGGCTACTCATATTTCAATCGAGCCAAGCTTGAGAGCCCCAGTTTGCTGAAGTCTGAGCATTATGCTTGTATGGTTAACTTGCTTTCTCGCTCAGGACGTTTTGCAGAAGCTGAGAATTTTCTTCGGAGTGTGCCCTTTGACCCTGGACTTGGATTTTGGAAGGCATTGCTTGGGGGCTGTCAAATCCACTCTAACATTAAGTTGGGAGAGCTTGCAGCAAGAAAGATTTTGGCTTTGGATCCTGATGATGTATCATCTTATGTGATGTTGTCAAATGCTCATTCTGCAGCAGGTAAGTGGTCAGATGTGTCAACCGTAAGGAGTGAAATGAAGGAAAAAGGAATGAAGAGGATTCCGGGTAGCAGTTGGATTGAAGTCAGAGGCAAAGTTCATGCCTTTCTTACTGCAGATCAGAATCATGATAAAATTGATGAAATTTATTTGCTTCTAAGATTTTTCTTTGAGCATTTAAGGGAAAATGAGGATTCTGATTTCCTCAACATTTATTGGTATTTTAGTTCATAAATAATGGGCATGGTGCTGTTTGATATAGTGTTATACCGGTTTCAATTTTAAAAAGGGTTGACTATTTTTGCTTTTATATATATTATAATTTTTTAACAACATGAGAGGTTAGTAACAAAAACTATAGCCAATGCTAAGAGATGGTAGTGCTTTATGACACTTTTATTGGTTCATAAAACTCATTTTCAACTTCTCATGCTATCTTACATGATTTCAGGCCATGTTTCCTGGTTTTTTAATTCCTCAGGGTTTAGTGCAAAATATGAAGTGAGATTTCAGATTTGGCAACTTTCTGTATTTTATGTCATGCTAGAATGTGATTCACATAGCTGCCAATTGAAATCTTATTTAGCACCCAACAATCATGGTAAAACTCGTACTCTTGAACTTCTACGATTTCACCACTGATTGTGTATGGTATAAGCTGAAATTTTTGTTATTAACATAGTATATGGGAAGGTCATGCTTAATGTGGTTTCATCTACAGAAACCATAGTTATACATACCATTTTCTAGCTGGTAAGATCTTGCTTGTTTATACAGTTAAGTAGCTAAACAAATTTTCAGTACAAAACAATCATTTTGCTGCTCTAAATGGGAAGGGGTGCACTGTTAATGGAAAGTTTTTTCTGATTTCCAACATAAAATATCAACTTCAAAGAAATGAACTTCTTCTCATTGGTACGCACCTTTATTTTACAATGAATTTACACTTTAGCTCCCTGAAATTGAATGGAACAGTCCTTAATGGTACGTTACTCTTCATATTTACCGTAATGATGTGCATTAGCATGCCCCCTTTCCTATCATATTTTAACAGGTTCGTTACTTGTTTTTGTTGGTTTAATTATTAGTCAAGGAATATTATAATGCAGAACAGTTAAAATGCATGTTGTCCTTCTATGGCTGTAGCGGTATATTTTTAATTTGCAACATAGCAGGTGTTGCTAGCTTTCCTTAAAGTACTTTCGATAATAAGAAGCAACAATTAATATCCTCAATTTTGGAACATCTTTAACTTTTTGGTGTTTCTGCTATTAAATCTAAGCGATTGGGTACCCTATTCACAAATGTATTCCTTTGCAGACCAGAAGCTTGTATGTGAGAACAAAACTACACCAAGAGAAATGCTAGTTGCACAATCTCCAATGAAACCTCATTCACATGTGAGTACGCGGCATAATAAGTAAATATGCAGAAAATGAGGTGTGATCATTACAATCAATCAGATGGTGGAAACTATCTAGATGTAAGGTGATTAGTGTGTTATACTCAAAATGCAAAGGAGAGAAGGATTAACATAGTCAAATATCATACTGGCATTAAAAAAAAAAAAAAAAAGTGTAAACTTATACTTTGGGTCTTTGTGAAAGGGTAGGTTGGCATTACTTTGATCACCGAAAGACATGCAACATAGGTTCAGTTCCAATGATGGAAAATGACATAATAATGATGATATATATATATAAGCCTACAATGATGATATATATAAGCCTACTTTATTCTGGTAATGAATGACGAAACAGTGTGTAAACACTGCAGCATCACAGTAAGGACAACTAAAAATAAACACATCCTAAACACCCTTTTGTTCACGAATTTATAGCTTTCACGCCATTGACTTTTGGCTCTGGCAAGGGGGAGTGTCCATACTATCTTACTAAGGATAAGCCGCATTATAAAATGTGACGTGTGTATGTTCAATTGTAATACCGCAAGACTTGTGATATTATTTTGCTGAATAAGATGTCTTATTTGGGAATGTTGTCTTGTCAAAATTCTTGTGCTTTGAATCGATGAATACCAAGTCCTGAAAAACATTTCAAAACATCACTTTTAACAAATTGTTTAACATAGTATAACTTAGCCCAGGTCGGCTAAATACTTATATACAGAAGTTTATTTCAAATTTATTGTTGGAAAAATAACACCAATTCTTTTTCCTTGAATTCTAGGTTATCTATATTCTAAGATGGATAGGTCTTCAATCATAAACCAGACGTTACCTATGAAAGACAACACACTTACCACCCTGATAACTAGTGTTCAAATTGAGTCTTCATCCAATTCTGTTTTTCCAATAGTTGGTCGGTTAAAGGGCACGAGAATGAACTGAAACTGTGACTTCACAAGAATTCAAATGCTGAGGGTTTTGAATTCAAATGCCTACTTTACTCATACACTTCGTTATCACAAAACTAGCAATAATTATAAATCATTCATGTCTTTACCCTGAAGCTGTCTACATTAAATTTGATAGAGTCATGTTCTGAGGGAGGAGAAAAGAGTACAATTGCCTTTCAAAGAACATAGTCTCACGGGGAACCAATAAGATTTTGAGTTAAACAAGAAACGAAAAATTTTACATTTGATACACAAATGAATAACACGTAAAATTTCGTTTACTTTGTGACTTACAAATTACATTACACAGCGTAACTAAGCTTTTGACGAAGACTCCCTCAACTATCATGTGAAGATGAACTATGTAGCAACACCTTGTCATCTTCTCGCGTTGGTGGTAGAGGCACAACTCCATTCTGATTCTCACCTTCTGAACTGGTAGAAGGTTTCGCATTCGCACCATTAGCAATAATATTTTTCAACCAAGAAGCTTGAAATCTAGGAGACCCTTCTCTGTTTGAATTGTTGGGGGACTCCGGACCATTTTTAACATTATTGGCAACATTATTTGTAACACCTAGGAGGAACCGGTATGCTACTTTGCTTGCTGATACAATCTCGGTTTTAGCTTGCCGGAACTGCAATAACAAGGCATTATCATCATGCAACTTAGAGTTTCTCAAAATATGTCAATGCTCATAACTACGTGATAGAAGTGCTCGAGCCAAAATCACAAGAACAGCCCGCTTGTGAAGAGAACAATTCTATGTAGTTAAGACAAGTTAGAGAATTCTGAATATTGTTTCTTACCCGTAATGCTGTATTTCCAGCCACTTCCATAGCAGTATCACCAGCATTGGCAAACCTATTGACCCAACCTGTCATGGAAGCTGTATGAGCACACAGTGATAAAAAAAAATAATGTACGAAGGCAATAGTTCACAAGATGGATCAATACTTAAGCCTCCCTCACTTGGCATATAAATTTAAAATGAAAAGTCCAAAATTATCTATCTACCCTAAAATCCAATAACTCCCAGTTTCTTTGAGAGCATCGTCTACTTATGAACTTAGGGAAACTACCTAGGTCCACTCTTCATATCTAAGCATCTCTCACCCTGTCCTGTAACTCTAATCGTGTTGACAATACCATATCCCAAATCTCGACTTCCTCTCCATAAAAAGTTAGTAAAAAAGGCAATTGAATGGAACTCAGGTTATGATAATGTGCATATAATATCTAATTGGAATTGAGTTTCCTCAAAGATAAGTATCATTCTATTTGGAGAAACAATATTTCAAACAGAAATTTTACAGGTAAAATATAGCATACTGTCCAGAATCAGTAAATGGTGGAAAAACTGTATTCAGAAAGAAGAATGTATTGCAGGTGAATTCTGCAATACCCACGAAGCAAAGTCAACTCCACTCTACCATAAGAAAAGCATAACAATTAACTCCCACAGCTCCACTACCAGTCTTCCTAATTCATATAAAGGAGATACAAATGGGATCTCTAATTTCCATTTCTATTTCCCATTTTGCCCCCCTGCGCCAGCTCCCTTTTATTTCTTATTCTATATGACTTCCAAACTGAAGGCCCATGACTGGGTTTGATTGGACTAGCCCAATTCCAGAGGCCTCAAACGTACCATAGAATTTACGTAATATATCCCTAAATACCACTATGTCATCATTTAGCAAAGAAAATAACAATTAACATCATAAAAGCAACATTATAGTTAGGCATTTACCTGGAAGCTTTTGTACACCAAGCCTTTCACAGAATTCATCACAGAAGTGATTGCAGTTTTTGGCAAGCAGATCATATGAACTCCCTGGCCACTCTCTACTGAGTTCTCTCAGTATCTGATTTACCTTGAAAATGGAAGAGTTTGTTTTCCCCAGAACAATGCATTCACGATATGTATACATTGGATTCTTTCCAGACGGGCAACTAAAAACTCCGGTACCCTGCTCACAGAATCCAAATGACCATTCATCTTCTCCATAAACCTGTCACAGCAGAACAAACAACCTTAACGTCAGCATGAGATAAAACAGCATGCCTACCATATGTCAAGGAAACAGAAGTGTGTCAATGAAGAAATAAATTTTGGGCCCAAGAAAGTAATGTAAGCATACAATGTGCCCCCATATAAACAACAAAAAGTAATGAGGGTAACAGCTTCTGTTTAAGCTGGAGTTCTGGACCACAAAATAAAGGTGGCTGCAAATCTTGATACTGCACTTTTCCTTCCCTTGAGAAAAAAATTAACTAAACGAACTGACTTCATCACCATACTTCTCAAGTAGAAGTCAGTAAAAACAGATGATTTTCCCTCTCAAACAGCCAGATAAGTTCCTTTTGCTATCTGAGACTGGGAGTGCCAAAGGGATAACTTTTATAAAATGAAATAATCGTATTCTTCATGATTTAAAAATTTTAAGGGAAATAAATAATTGCATATTACACATAAAAGTAATAACAACGGTAAATGCAACATTATCAGATCAACAGTGACAAGAGTCATAGACTCATTTTTTTAATTTCTTAGGCTCTCTATTGGCATATTCCAAATAAATGTTAAAATTGTCGTACAAAATCCCAAATTAAGGAAGAAAGAGTTCAAAATACTGGAAAAAAGGTTCTCATCATTCTAGTTTCTAATGCTTCTCAGAATAAAGAAGATGAAAAGTCTAAGAACTTCAAGTTTTGGTTTACAAAGTTATCCTTAGAAAATGATTAGTGGTATAATGGAATTCACTGGCCTCAAGGCCCATTAATATGGCTAGTAACTACTCCTGTCCTGTCACATGTCCCATTGCTTTGAGCACTAATCATGCCTAATAAACTTGTTCATACTTCCTCTTAAGTCCTAAATTCCTGTAGGTATTCTTTGTCAAGCAATTCATCTTTGTAAGCATGACAGAGAACAATGAAACATCCGTCTACTAAACTAGTACCAGAATTAAGATTTCACATGACTGGGACCAAGCCTGCCAACCAAATGACCAATCCTGCCAACCAAATGACCAATCCATACCCAGTCAGAGAAGTATTTTATAATACAACCTGGCTAGAATAAATCCTAAATTATCTGGGAGTAGGCCTGTGAATCCAGCGCCAACAAACAACACCATAGATTTCAATTCTAATTTTTCCTAGAAAGAAATATATACCCAATCACATTCGTCGTTATCATATCATAATAACCTCTACTAGCCAGTGCCCATATCTCAAAATATCCCTCTTTATTTCAGAATCACACCATAGCAGTTAGCCAGTTACAACCACACACTCCAAAGGACCTAAAACCACACACTAGAGGTATCATCTATATATCCCTGAAATACACTTTAGTACTTTACCAACTTCTCAATCCGACAGCATGCATGTAATTCATACAAGCTGAAGAATGAACGAATATTATTTATAGCCACAACAAGCATACCTGCAAAATCGAAACTCACATCATACGTACATAACTAACAATCACTTAAGCCACCTACTTAATCGCAGTTTCTCAAATCTTAATCACACTGACTCAAATGAGTGGAGGGATCTAACCTACACCCCAAATTACAAAGGGAGAAAAAAAATGAAACACCAAATTTAGCAACAGAGTCAGAGTCACACATTGGACAACTACACTCCCCAATCAACATTGCAAACACCAATCAAGTTCCCCATAAAACATAAACAATAACCAAAAATAGAAAACCCAGATCCAATCAACAGTACCGACCCTCAAACAACAACAACAACAAAAAAAAAAAAACAGAAACATTAATCTCTACAAAGAGTAAAGGAACCTGCACAGCGCTATGGAAGATGCCACCGAGACCAATCCCATCCTTGAAGATCTTGTTGATCTGAACAATGGTGTTGTTAGTTTTCTCGGATCCACTATTTGTCACATCATATATATGCAGTACCACTTCCGTCATATTTCCCTTTCACCCCACCACCCACAACAAACAAACCAAAACCCAAACTTTACACAACGCCACTTCACCTTTCTCTCTCTAAACGCTATTCACCTATCTGGGTCTCTCTCTCTATATACGATTCGATTCAGCTTCAAGAATAATCAACCACGGGTGGTATTGTTGTTGTTGCTCTTCTCTCTCTTCGTAAATTGAACCGAGATTCGTCCTCGGGATCCTGGAAAACCCTCCAATTTAACCATCCAAATTTTCCTCTCCGGAATCGAAAGATTTTCGCGTGTTCTCCCGTGAATTTATATTCTAGAAGGAGGGAACATAACACAGAGAGTGTGTGTGTGAGAGAGAGAGACCAAAAGCTCAGAAACGAAAAATTAAAATCGGAAAATGAAAATGGAAAGAGGGCAAAAGAAAAGAAATAGTTTTATGAAAAGACGGCTTTGCCCTTCGTGCGTAGGCGAAATTACGGAAAATGATGCTGTCTTTACAGCTGGCTGCCACTGTGGGACGTGTTTGGCAAATGATTAGTGGGAGCTGCAAAATGTGGGCTCCACGTGGTCGTGAAAGCCATTATTAACGGTCACACAAACGGGCAGCTAGAGGGGATGAAATGACGAATGTGCCCTCTGATTTTGAATTTTGAGTGTTCTGTCGAAAATGGAGTTTGTTGGCTACGTAATGGACAGTTCCGTCAATTAAGGGATGGCGTAATGGGTCGACTCGTGTAATAATATTAATGATTAAAGAATTTTGAAATTTTTAGTAGTATAATTATTATACTATTATGACTTTTATTTATTATTATTTTTTTAAGATGAATATCGTTTATTAATTATTATACTATAAATATATAGTGATAATTTATAAGCAACGTTGAAGGCGTGAAGGATGCTGAGTGTGGCGTTTTGTGCGTCAAATCATTGTGGTGCTCACTTTGTTGCTCTTTGTCACGTCGACAACCATTAGTCGTTATCACTTATCATCTTATAAGGTTTTCATTTAGGTCACATGTAAATGTAATAGTAATATTTTTAGATATGTTTAAGTATATACCAATCGAGGAGCTCATTATACTTTCTAGCACAGTAAATTAATGAAAATAAATAATTAAATCAGTTACGCTAAGATTATTATGTAATAATATTTGAACATCTATAGATTTATTTATATAATACAAAAAAACATAAAACAACTCCTGATAATATTATTTGAAAATATAAAGTCTTTTATAAAGTAATAATAGATTCTTGTATATATATATATATATACATACATATAGTATAAAGACCAAAAACATAATACTAATGTCAGTTAAACATTTACTTTAAATAAGTTACATCAAAGTAGTCTCTAATAAAACATTGTCTTTCCCAACTCAAGCAACTAGTCCTCTAGCTTAATCATTCTCTACTTCCATAATAATATAATTATGCAATCCAATAATAAAGGAGTACAAAGGTAAGCTTGTAATCAAGAAACAAAAAAGTATAGAAGTAATAAACTAGTTATACAAACAACTCAATCAACACCACACAAAATTAGCTCAAGACCCAATTTAGCGACACAAAACAACATATCAACTCAACTTCTCAATATAATCTTAACATCTTGCATCAACACTAGACAACTTACTATCGTGTCAACTTAGCAACTATTAAACACAACATAGTATAAAAACAACTCAACAGCTTATAACTCAACACAACTTAGTAACATTTTAACTTAAAATAATAGTGCAACATAGCATTACAACAATACAATGCCTCGTCACACATTTTAACTAAAAGATCTTTTACCATACATGTAAACAATTTAAGTGGTTTGACCCTATTGAACCAACTTAACAATATGTTTTTGAGCTTGTTAAATCAACAACAAATTTTGGATATCAATTCACAACACAACATAATTTCTCGAATTTCACCACTTAGACTAAGAAAGTCCAATATCTATATTAGGAGTAGAATTGTTTGGGTGTTAGCTTACCATGACCTTAGCATGCATAACTAATCATATATGAAATTAGCTCACCGACTATCTTCTACATATTGTGCACCTTTCAAGTACCTAGTTAGGGATTTTGGTTCTCAACCATGTATCTTACTTGATTGATCGCTTCTAAACTAGTATGGCTTGACTTGACCCCTATATAATATCAACTAAGAACTTAGAAGAGACTCAACACTCCACTTCAAGAGACAATTATACTCAAGAAGGATTTGTTAATAACTCAAAGCACCGTAAACATATATACCCACATAATCGAATATATCAACTTTTAAAACATCTCTCCTATAGTCCTAAATCAACAATACAACACAACTTCATGCATAAAACATCTCATCAACATATATCAATACTACAACATGCTTCAAGCATAACACAACTCAATACAACACATCAACATGCTTTTCATACATTTACAACTCAGTATACAACAATATACAACTTATATACATTCATTACATTAACACTCGATGTGAATAACTCAAACCCGACATCCACGCTCGACACCACCCACCTAGCATTCGACATTAATGAGATAGAGAGCCTCTAAATCACTCACTCCCAACACCAATCTTCTAGCAACCTCCATCAATGAGATAGAAAGTCTTTATGTAAACCACACCCAATGTTACCAAATCCACACTTGGTGTCATCCAGGCTAAAAGCCTCTGCCTGATCCACACCCGATGCTACACAACCTATGTATGGCATCGTCAAGATAGAGAGTCACTAACTTGATCACACTTGATGTCATTCATCTTGTGCCTAAATTCACTAAGTTAGAGAGCTCATAGGGCAATCACGCTTGATGCCCCTCAACCCATGCCTAGCATGACTAAGTCAGGGTGCTCTTAGTTGACTCATGTACAATGCTACCTATCATGTGCCTAGTTCAATGAGGTGGAGAGCCTTTGACCTACCTCATGCCCAACGCCATGAAACTATACCCAATGTGATAGCCATTTCTACACTTGGCAGAATTGCATTTTGGCTCCAAACACCTAAAAATCAACCCTAAACCAAAATGCAATTCACAATATTACATAAATACATGATAAACAACTTCAATGTCCAAAAAAACTACAACATGCAACCAATATCAGAGCTCAAAATCATCAAGTTTTCATTCTCAAGCAAAAAAACCCTAAAACCATATCACCAAGATTCTATATACAAAAATCAAACATCAAAATCATTTAAAGCATATATTAATTCACCAAGTTCACCTCATATAACATAGATAAATTAAACTACAAGTTTCCCTTACCTTGGATCTTCCAAAGAAGAAGAAGAAAAGGAAGACACTTAAGAATCTTGAACTTCTCATACGTCGACTTCTCCATCTAATTCTCAACTCCTAAAGGTTTGAATCACAACACAACTACTCAATCTAACATTAGGGAAGGATCTAAACATTGTATGAAGTAAACTAAAGGAAATAAATCTCTCTAGTTTTAAAGTTTCTCTCTCTAACTTCTCTCTAAGTTTTTTAAGAAAATGAACTTATGAAGTTTAAGTCTTGAAAAAACCTTATGAATGATAGATCCTGAAGAATAAATAATTCTTACAGATTTAGAAACTTCTTAGGCTCTCGTAGCTTCCTGTTATCTCGTTTGGCAAGTGTACCAAATCGTATAAGTAGTTCAATGAAAGTATGAGTATCGTCTCCCAAGGGACTTGCGCAACACTTTGCAATTTCACTTGTTATACTAACTAAGCTACCGAAAAGCAACAAGAGATTGATTTGCTGCAGTAAATAATGTAAACAAGCAATAACAATTCTTTCTGGTATTTTGGTAAACACTTAGAGTGCAAAACTTGATTCTAAAGCAATATTACTAAGTGTTGGGGTTTGACTTCACTAAACCCTCCTTTCATGTTTATCATTTCACAACTGGTCATCAAACAGTTAACTCAAGAGTACAAGTGTTTAAACGAAAAATTAATTGAATTCAAAATTTGAGTTGTGCAGTTACTTAACGCGTTTGATGAAGTCCAGTTACAACATATTCCTCGAGACTCGAATATCATCGCGAATGAATTGGCTCAGATGGCATCAGGGTATAAAGTAAGTAAGGAATGTCTCGAGTATCTGATTCATACCGAAAACGAATTGATAGGCCATCTAGAGGTTCTAAGTCTTGGTTCTTCGAAGGACATGATTCATCAACCTCATGAATGTACTTGGTGCATTAGTAAGCCTAAAAGGCATTACTAACCATTCATATAATCCAAATTTAGTCTTAAAACCAGTTTTCCACTCATCACCTTCCTTAATACGAATTTGGTGATAGCCACTTTTAAGATCTATTTTGGAAAATATGGATGAACCATGCAGCTCATCAAGCATGTCATCAAGCCTAGGAATTGGGTGCCTATATTTTATGGTGATGCTGTTGATGGTTCTACAGTCATTACACATCCTCTATTTTCCATCTTTTTTTGGCACCAATAAGACAGGCACAACACAAGGGCTTAGACTCTTTTGAACCCATCCCTTATCTAACAAGTCTTGTACTTGCTTCTCTATCTCTTTAGTTTCTTGTGGATTTGTCCTATAAGCTAGTCTATTGGGAAGACTAGCTCCTAGGACAAAATCTATTTGACGTTCTATACCCCTAAAAGGTGGAAGACCATTGGGTCCCTCACTAGGGAATACATCATCAAATTCAACTAAAAGATTTTGAATATCAAGAGGTAGAGAAGTTTCTACATGACTTGTAGTAGTGCATGTGAGTGTTCCTTTACAAATGAGAACATATGAAGATGGTTCAATCAAGAGAGAAGTTTTTGACAAAGTTTTAGTAGAAAAATTCTCTCCTTGTTGAACTATCTTTAGAGAGGGAACACTAGACTCTCTAGAATCCTCTTGATTCCTAATTTTTAGGTTTTTTTTTAACTTTCCTTTTTGTTTTCTAATTCTTTTTCTTGGTCACGTTTAGCCTTCATTTGTACTTGATCCTCAGCCACTTGAGATGGTGAGAGTGGATGAAGTACAAACATTTTACCCTTATGTGTGAAGGTTATTTTGTTAGTAAGGCCATCATGAGTTGTTTGTTTGTCAAATTGTCATGGCCTTCCTAACAAAATATGGCAAGCTTCCATGGGAACTACATCACATTTAACTTTATCTTTATAATTTCCAATAGAAAACTCTACCTCCACTTGTTGATTAACCACCATATCCCCATCATCATTAAGCCAATGAAGTTGATAAGGTTTGGGATGAGGTGTGGTAGCTAATCGTAACTTATCAACCATCCTAGTGCTACAACAGTTGCACCAAGAACCATTCTCCACAATGAGAGAACAAGCCTTGTTTGAAGTGTTACATCTTGTATGAAATATGTTCTCTCTTTGTGAATGTGTATCACTA